CCCCCGCCCCGTAACTGGGTGACTGTCCCAGGGAAGCAATTTGGAGGGCGAGGCAGCAGCAACCCACTAGCTCTGGGCTGGGGCTGGTGATCGATCCTATGCGTGTTGCAACAAGCTGGGCATGTACTTTCAGAGTACTGTGCCGGGAGAAGTGCAGGGAGGGACGGCTTCTGGTCCTTATACTTAAAGATACTAAGAAAGGGGCTGGAAAGATGGCTCAGCGGTTAAGAACACTGGTTGTTCTTGCAGAAGACCTGGGTTTGAATCCCAGCACCCACATGGCAGCTAACAACTGTCCGTAACTTCAGTTCCAGGGGATCCGACAGTCTCTTCTTTCCTCCACTGGCATTGCATGACACAGGTGCATTTACCTACACGCAGGCAATACATGCATACGTCCTCCCGTGGAACGTGATTCCCCTTCTGGTGTCTCCCCTGGACAGTACTCTTGTATAGATTGATTAGTTAATGCTTAGCTGCCAATCCTCCTAGACACAGTCAGATATATACATTTTTTTGTTTTTATTATTTTTTTATTGTATTTTTACACAGGGTCTCCCTGTAGCCCCAGCTTGCTTGGAACTCGCTATGTAGACCAGGCTGGCTCCAATCTGACAGAGATCTACCTACCTCTGCCTCCAGAATGCTGGGATAAAGGCCTGAGCCACTAAGCCCCACTCTGATCACGTTTTGAACACTACGTGGGGAAGAGTCGAGTGCCTTGGTTTCCTGAGGGGGTAGGGATCTTGGGACTGGGTGTTAGAGTACTCTTATGCTCTTATTGGAGTTTGTCTCAAGACGTTATGACCGCGCTCCTTTGCCAGCCTGGGGTAGGGGTGTCACCATCCTTCTTTCCCTGGGTCTAAAGATGTCTTTGAACATCACTTGTTTTCCGGGGACTTTGAGTGGGTGGGGCGTGTCCCAGGAGAGTTTAGGACTGCGGTCGCCTGCGAAGGCTTTTTGTCAGCCGAAAGATGCTAACCGTGGTGCCTGAGTACGCAGGCGTTTGTGGGCTCTCTGGTTAGGGTAGGAGCTTGGTGGGTGGGTCTCTCGCTCCAGCCTCCGTGTTGACAAAGGAATGCCAACTGAGTCCCTAGTATGGCGCCTTCCCACCATTTCGTGCAGCCTACAAGAAGCAGTCAACCGGAGCCCTGGAGTCACGTATGCTAGGGAGCATTTGCCTGGTCGCTTGGTGCCACACAGAAAAACTCTCCTTTTTTCAACTTAGACTGTATTAGCCATTCCTTATAGTAATGCCTGTCAGTGGCTCTCTGCCCAATATGGCCAGACGGAAGCTGGCTTGTCTTGCCTATGTGTCTAAATGCCATTCGCCAGCACACTACCCAGAATTCCGGTGTTCATTACCTCTCCATTCTGCGCATGTGTAGTGCCTGCCGGGCACACACGCCTAATGCGCCTCTGCATCTATGATCTCCGCGTCGACTAGACCGTCTACCTCAACCACCACCACCATCACCCCGCCCCCGGCGGGAACTCTATGGTTCCTATGCGTGAAGATAGGCCGCCTATATAAGGCATGCGCAGGCGTTGGAGCACCTCTTTTCCTCGGGTGCGGTGAGTGTGTTTAGTTGCTCGCGGCTTTAGTGTCCGATCTGGGTACTCTTTGCTCGGACTTTGAAACCTATTCTGAATTCGTTATCTGACTTTGACTATTTCGTTACAGCCACCGAAGATTCTATCATGGGTCGCCGCCCCGCCCGGTGGTGAGTGCTTAGTCCATGCCATTTTCGAAGGAAGATAGATAATTGCTTTCTCCTAAAAGACATTCTTCGGGTGGAACCTCCGGTCCCGCGGTCACCCAGACGTTGGAAACTGACCCAAAGTTTTCCTTAATACTTTACTGAGTGATTTGTTTTGTTGGGGTTGTGCGTGGATCGACCCGGGACTGTAGGTGAAGCACTTCTGTAGAGTTAGAAGCAACATCTTTATGCTTCCAACTCTCCGTCCTGTGAAGAAACCATATCACAAGGCATCTAATGCCTCCTTGGTGCCTTTGTGTGCAATCTTTGTCATTTCCGGGCCTTGTGGTCTTATCAGACACCAAGGGCAGTCCAGACAGTAGCAGGCACCATAACCCTGTGTCCTGAAGGGAGCGCCATATCTTCATGTGGCTCTGAGACGGATATGTCACATGCTCTGAAGTCTTGGGAGGTTTGAAGTATTAGATTGTGCTGCCTCTCCCTCCTGTGGGGACGGCGGGATAACAGTGTTTGGGTTTTGCTTTGTGTGTGGCCATCTGTTTTGAATGAGTTGCATTAGAGTCTCTTAACGGAGACCAATTTAATTCCAAGTTGGATTTGTCCTGTTGTGGCGACTTTTCAGAGAGCTTACTGTGTTAAGGCGCCACCCTCATCACATCTGTCTTCCTCCCCCAGTTACCGTTATTGTAAGAACAAGCCGTACCCTAAGTCTCGCTTCTGTCGGGGTGTTCCTGGTAAGTAGGGCAGAGTTCTCAAACTGAACTGCTCGTACTGAGTCAGTCCCTGCTGCCCACATGCTTACTCCATGTTTCTTTCAGATGCCAAGATCCGCATCTTTGATTTGGGAAGGAAGAAGGCCAAAGTTGATGAATTTCCACTTTGTGGCCACATGGTGTCAGATGAGTATGAGCAGCTCTCCTCCGAAGGTGAGACTGCCTTTGTTAATAACAAGAGTTAGAGTTGAAACCTATTCTGTCTTTGCCTGGCTGGCAGTACTGACCCTAGAATGGACATGGACCTTTATACACTGTTTACCCCAGTAACATGTGACACCCCCAGTTGCAGAGGGCTGTTGTGCTTCTGCACTATCCTGTCTTATTCTACTGCCTTTTTACTCAGCCTTGGAGGCAGCTCGTATTTGTGCCAACAAATACATGGTGAAGAGCTGTGGCAAAGATGGCTTTCATATTCGAGTGAGGCTCCACCCTTTCCATGTCATCCGAATCAACAAGATGTTGTCCTGTGCTGGGGCAGACAGGTGAGCTGGAGGCTTTCACCCATTCCCAAAACATTTAGGCTAGAAATGAGTCTCAGATATAAGTAAAACATCACAGAATAAGGCTTAGCAGCCTCTGGTCCCCAAGTAGAGGGAAGACCTAGTGAGCATAAATAAGATTGCTCGTGTGATCATAACCAATTGTCAGCAAGCACATAGTTAGGGCTCTGGGAAAACTACTAGCTCCTCCCACTTTATTTGCCGGTGGGGGGGCGTGGGTGTTGTGCAGCCAATTAAGCCGACCAGGTTCCTTTCCTTGTAGGGGCCAGGTGTGCAATGGCTGCAAACAGCAACCTCCTTGGTAGTGTATGCAGCCTGTTTCATGTATGGGCTGCTCTAAGGGACCTTGGAGACAGTTTTTTGGTGGGTATCCATGTCTCTGATCTCAATGCTGTCCCCAATCTAGGCTTCAGACAGGTATGCGGGGTGCCTTTGGGAAGCCTCAGGGTACAGTGGCCAGGGTTCACATTGGCCAGGTCATCATGTCCATCCGCACCAAGTTACAAAATAAGGAACATGTGATTGAAGCCCTTCGTAGAGCCAAGTTCAAGTTCCCTGGCCGCCAGAAGGTAAATTTTTATTATTAAGCCCCTTTGTGCGTCCTTGCAGTGGTCTTAACTCAGTTTCTTTTTCATCTCTCTCTAGATTCACATCTCAAAGAAGTGGGGCTTCACCAAGTTTAATGCAGATGAATTTGAAGACATGGTAGCTGAGAAGCGCCTCATCCCTGATGGCTGTGGGGTCAAATATATTCCCAATCGTGGTCCCTTGGACAAGTGGCGGGCCCTCCACTCCTGAGGATTCCCTCTGCACCGAGTCCTGTGCCCCACCAAGTCATGTGTTCCCTAATAAACTCTCACATGCAGTCTTCCTGTGTCTTTGTATCTAATTTTTATTATTTTTGAGGCAGGGTCTCAGTATATAACCCCGACTGGCCTAGAACTCCCTAACTCTTGGAGACAAGCTGTCCTCCAAAGACCTACTTCATTCTGCTGGGATTAAAGGTGAAAGGTTTGCACTACCACACCCAGCAAACTAAGATCATAAGGTTATGGGGCCAAGCTGGTCAACTGAGCATAGAAATGATCCAAGATTGGTAGCTTTATTGAAGTATTTTAAACACAACATCCGTGGCACAGCCTCTAGTGGTGGGAGAACTCTGTGGAGGTGGAACTGGCCTAAAGCTAGCCCATAGACGGGTTTTGTACCCCATTATTTGGGGAGAAATAGAATCACTTGGATCCGAAACCTGAGGCAAAGCCAGGTAACGGGGTGGCAGTGCTCTGGGACAGGTGTACCTCCTGCTAGAGCTGCTTGTAGGGTAATGGTGCAAGGGTTTACAATGAATTCACCTTTTTGGTCTTTGAGACAGGGTTTCCCTGTAGCTCCGGCTGGCCTAGAACTCAGAGATCCGCCTGCCTCTGCCTCCCAAGTGCTGGGACTAAAGGCCTATGCCACCATGCCCATCAAATTCACATTTTCTTGAGTGCTTTATTTGGTGTGAAGTTTTGATTTTCCGATTTTTTTTTCTTGCAGCAGGGTCTCACTGTAGCCCTGGCTAGCCTTGCTGGGATTAAAGGCAGGTATTGTCATGCCTAGCTGTGTTATATTAGTCTTAATAGAATGCTGTTTTAAGCTGGGCGTGGTGGCGCACGCCTTTAATCCCAGCACTTGGGAGGCAGAGGCAGGCGGATCTCTGTGAGTTCAAGGCCAGCCTGGTCTACAAAGTGAGTTACAGGACAGCTGGGGCTACAGAGACCCTGTCTCAAAAAGACCAAAAAAAAATTAGAATGCTGTTTTTGGATACCTGGGTTTTCACTGTCAGTTTTCTTTCTGTCTTCTGATGGGTGTGACTTTTCCTGAGTGTAGCTTATGTGCTTCTGTGCCTACTCCTGGCCCTGGAGCCTGCTTTGTCTCTACTTCTGGTGGGGTGGCAAAGGTTCAGCTTCAGGGCTCCTGTGTTACCCCTCGCCCTACTGGGAATCTAACTCAGAGCCTTAGATAGTCTAGGCAAGAGCACTGCCATTGAGCTATACCCCAGCCTTTGTCCTCTTGAATACTAAACAGTACAAACCCCACATAAGAGCAAAAAGCAGCCAGGCATGGTGGCGCAGGCCTTTAATCCCAGCACTTGGGAGGCAGAGGCAGGCGGATCTCTGTGAGTTCAAGGCCAGCCTGGTCTACATAGTTCCAGGACAGCTGGGGCTACAGGGAGACCCTGTCTCAAAAAAACAAAAAGCAAAAGCAAATGGCAAGGTAGTAAGATCCTCAGGACTTGCTTGCTTCAGCTCCAGTGGAGTCCATGAGTCCAAAAGGCAATCTCCTGTTCATGTCCATGGCCAGCAGGCACAGTGAGGTGTCAGGCCACTCAGTCCAGCTGGGAGAGCAGGAGTGACAGCAGCAGTTGGGCGGTCAGGGAGAAGAGCTGGATGCAGTGAGCTGCCTGGCTCAGCTCCACCTCTACAGGATAATGGTCACTGATGCTCAGGGCCTAGGGAGGGATATCAAGATGAAATGTCCAGACCTTGGAACACTGCCCACCCCAATTCTGTCCTTAGCCCTTGTGTTAGCCCAGCTTCTCTACCTCTTCCTCAGTCAGCTGAAAGTTCCTGGGGAAGTTGAAGGTTGCTGCAGCTTGCAGTAGGCTCTGACAGCCCTGTCCATGCACCACAATGCGGTCATAGGTGCAGTTGGTGCTGATCCGCACTGTAGTATCTTCCCCGTCAGGAATCACCCAGTGGAAGCCTGGTTTAATCCGCAGCAGCAGGCTGTTCAGACGCTTTTTGGTCAGTGATGCACAGTCAGCGTTGAAATCTCCAAGCAGGATCACATTCTAAAAATGGAAGACATAGTTAGGCCTGACTATTGGGCTGTCCCATCCACCCCCTCCCTCCTGTGCAAGCTGTCACCCTTACCTCATTCTGCCAGCGCTGGGACACATCCAGAAACACATCGTATAGAGCATTCAGCTCCTTCTCTACATCTTTGGGAGTGGTGTGCAGTGGGACCAGCACCACGCTAGGAAGGACTGCAAAGCAGAGGGAGCTGGGGTTGCCACTATTCCCAGCCCTTCTCCCCCACTGCTTCCTCTAGGAACCAACCCCCAGTAGAGCCAACCACATCCCCTCTCCTGCTCCTGTGAACTAGGTCCCCCTTTCTTCCCCTCTTACTTTTACTAGGCAAAGTGAACTGGGCCACAAATGGTTCACGGGCAAAGAGGTCATCTGTGTCATCATACTGGTACGAATTCAGGACCTGTGTCTTGTCAGATCTGGGAGGACCAAAGTTGGGAAACAGTCTCTATTCACTGAATCTGGCTTGTATGTACCAACAGCAGTGCTGGTGCTAAGGAAGGAAACCTCTTGGTTCCTGCTTGGACCCATTTCACATGGGCACAACTTTTTTTTCTAGAACTTCTAGGATGTTCTTTTTATTATTTTTATTTTATGTGTATGAGTGTATTGCCTGCATGTATGTGAGTGCATCCATGTCGTGCAATGCTGAGGAGATCAGAAGAGGGTTTTGGATTCCCCTGGAACTGGAGTTAAGAATGGTTCGTAACTGCCATGTGGGTGCTGGGAATTGAACCCAGGTCCTCTGCAAGAACAGTCAGTACTCAACTGCTGAGCTGTCTCTCCAGCCCCCTTCTTTTTTAAAAATACTTTTATCAATTCTTTGAGAATTTCATACAATATATTTTGATCATATTCCAACCCCTCCCCCATCTTTTTGTTTCTTTTAGTGCTGGAGATCTAACCCAGGGACCCACACTCACCAAAAAGCATATGAACAGTCTGCTGCTGCGGCCTAGCTCTGTACCCCACCACAGAGCTAGACCTCCAGCTCTTTTGTAGGGTTTTTGTTGTTTCTTTTCTTTTTTTTTTTTTTTTGTTTTTTTTTTTTTTTTTTTTTTGTTTTTTTTGAGAAAGGTTTAGGTCTCAGTATGTAACACTGGCTTGCCTGGAACTTGCTATGTACACCAGGGTGGCCTCTGCCTCCCGAGTGCTGGAATCAAAAGCGTGTGCTACTACACACTACACCCTGCAATTTTGTGGGGTATTTTTGAGATCCATTTTCATAGTCTTAAATTTATAGGCTCAAGCAATTTTCCTACCTTATTTAGTCTCCTGAATAGCTGGGTCTTCATACCTACACGCCTAGCTAGAACTCTTTCTATGAAAATTGAGTTCAACCCATGTGCTCACCGGTAGATGTACACATACTTCTCCTTGTAGGTGTTGCGCCCCAGCAGAGAGCTGTTTAGGGAGCTGTAGTAGTTGGAACTATCAAATCTGCAAGGAAAAGGGGAATTCAGAGTCAGAGGTCCTGAGGCTCTGGATAGAACTCAGACCGACAGAACCTACTTTACCTTTTGAGTTCTCGAAGCAGGAGGGAGACAGTTTTCTGGGAAGAATCCACCACCTCCTGAAGCACCATGATATCACAGCGGGCCAGGATCTGCATGGAATGAAAGATGCCAGCCCTGCTCGGAGCTGTCACCATGGGAGGAGTTGGCATATATAAGAACTGGCACTGAGGTGGCCATAGCCAATGGTGGGACTAGAGGAACCCCAGGAAAATAGAAAGCAGCATCCCACATACCTTGCCCATTTTATAGAGGAAGAAATCAATAGTTAAATGAAGTGATAATTAAAAAATATTCTCCACCTCTGTGCATGCACATTCTAGATGTCCCCTCCTCTCTGGCACATATCCCTGGTCAGGCAGAGCTGGGGGCTTTGGGTCAAGGTCCTTAGGGACACAGATTTCAGCAACAATTAACTTACCTGAACTAAGGTGTCCATCACTTGTTCTGTGGCCACCTTAGCAAGTGTCAGCCTCTGAGCATTGAAGGCACAGATGCGGAAGGCCTCTGCCCCAGCAGCCAGGAGAATGAACAGGAGTGCCAAGAGCCCACGAACAGCCATGTGTGGCATCAGGGATCCTGCAGAGGATTCCAGGCTGTGCACAGGGCACCACTATTGAAACTGGTCTTGGCTAGTTGGTGCTCACTCAGTTGCTGACCCTCAAGATTTCCTGCATTCTTCCTGGGACATGTTTCAATGCCTGCACATGATGTTGAAGGCCTGGTAAGATACAAACCCCATAAAATCTCAACCTTTTTAAAAAATATATTTATTATCTTATGTGTAAGAGTGTATTGCCTGCATGTATGTGAGTGCACCCATGTCATGCAATGCAGCAGAGGTCAGAAGAGGGCATGGGATTCCCCTGGAATTGGAGTTAAGGACGGCTCGTAGCTACCATGTGGGTGCTGGGAATCGAACCTGGGTCCTCTGCAAGAGCAGTCAGTGCTCTTAATGGCTGAGCCATCTCTCCAGCTCCATCCATCTCAACCTTTTAAGGGCAGTCCATCACAGTAGGCACAAGACAATGTTGTGCAACTATTGCCACCTTCCACCTCCAGAGTTTTTTCAGCTTCCCAAATTGTAATTTTGTTCCCATTAAATGTAACTTCTTTGCAAAGACGGAGGCCTGGAGTTCAAGTAGGGTTAGCCTCTACAACAGTCTGTGTGCCTGTCTTTTTAGAGGGTATTTTTGTGTGTATGTGTGTGTTTGTGTGTGTGTATTTGTGTTTATATGTGGGGAGTATGTAGGTGCACATGCGTTATGTGTGTGTGCATGCATGTGGAGGACAGAGGTCAGTCTTAGGTGTCATTCCTCAGTAGTCATCCATCTTGTTTTTTGAGACAGTCTTTTGCTAGCACCCACTAGGCTGGCTGTCCAGCTAGTGAGCCCCAGGGATCTGCCTGCCTCTGCTCTCTACTGCTGGGATTACAACAGCATACCACTCATGCCTGGCCTTTTTTGTGGGTGCTAGGGAGCAAACTCAGGTCATCATGCTTGTGCAGCAAGCATTTTACCAACTAATCCATCCTCCTAGCCCCTCTGTCTGGGTTTCTGAAACATTATCTTGCTCTGTAGCACAGGCTGGTCTCAAATTTGGGATAATCTTCCTGTCTTGGCCTCCTGTGTGCTGTGATTACAGCATGCACTACCATGACTGGCTGATTCATTCTTTTCTGAATGTCTTACTTTTTTTTTGAAACAGAGACTCATGTATCCCAGGCTGGCCTCAAACTTGGCTATGCAGCTGAAGATGACCTTGAACCTAACTATGATCTTCTTGCCGCCACCTCCCAAGCACTGGGACTATAGATGTGCATCACCAAACATTCCCTGCCTCTGCCCTTTGCAATGCTGAGGATTGAATTCAGGGTATTACCTGCTAGAGAAGCTCTACCATTGAGCTGCATCCCCAGCCATGAGACCCTGACTTTTTTTTTTTTTTTTAGACTGGGTCTCTTTGTAGCCCCAGCTGGCCTGGAATTCACTATGTAGACCAGGCTGGTATTGAACTCACAGAGATGTACCTGCCTCTGCTTTGCAGTGCTGGGACTAAAAGGCATGTAACACCACACCCAGCTGAGACCCTGTCTCTTATAAAACAAAACCAAGACTGGCTGTGGTGGCACACTCCTATAATCCCAGCATCTGGGAATTGAAGTCAAGATCACAAGTTTGAGGTCAACCTGAGTTACATAGGGAACTGCAGGCCAGCCTGAGTTACACAGTGATATCCTGTTTCAAAAAAGAAGCACAGGGGGTGGAGTGGACACACACGACTGGAGAGGTGGTTCAGTGGTTAAGAGCACTGGCTGACTGGCTGTTCTTACACTCATACAGAAAAAATAAAAATTATATATATATACATATATATATATATATGTATGTATGTATAAGCATGTCTGGTGCCCATAGAGGCCAGAAGAGGGTGTTGGATCTTCCGGATTGGAGTTACAGGTGGTTGTGAGCTGCCATGTAGGTGATGGGAACTGAACCTGGGTCCTCTCCAAGAGCAGCAAGTGCTTTTACCCACTGAACCATCTTCAGCACCTTTTAATTTTTAAAAAAGATTTAATTTTATTTTTAATTATGTGGGTATATGTGTGTGTAGGTATGTGCATGTCCAAGTTCCTACAGAGACCAGAAGAAGATGTTGAATCTCTCTGGAGCTGGAGTTACAGGTAGCTGTGAGCTGCCCAACATGGGTGCTGAAGACCAAACTTGGGTCCTCTACAAGGGCAGTACACACTCTTAACCACTGAGATCTCTCCAGCCACTGTTTTAATTTTTAAATAATCAGGGGCTGGAGAGATAGCTCAACGGTTAAGAGTAGTGGCTGCACCGGGTGTGCTGGAGCACATGTGTAGTCCCAGCAGTTGGGAGACAGAGGCAGGCAGATCTCTGTGAGATCAAGGCCAGCCCAGTCTACATAGTGAGTTCTAGGGCAGCTGGGGCTACAGGGAGAGCTTGTTTCAAAAAGACCCCCCCCCAAAACCAACAACAACAAAAAGGAGAACACTGGCTGCTCTTGCAGAGGACCTGGGTTTAATTCCCACACGGCATCTAACAACCATCCCTAACTCCAGTTCCAGGGGAATCCCACGCCCTCTTTTGACCTCTGTGAGCTTTGCAGGACACGGATACACTTACACACATGCAATATACACACAAAATAAAAATAATAAAATATTTTAAAAAATTATTATTGTGTGGCTGGGTGTGGTGGCACACGCCTTTAATCCCAGCACTTGGGAGGCAGAGGCAGGTGAATCTCTGTGAGATCAAGGCCAGCCTGGTCTACATAGTGAGTTCCAGGACAGCTGGGGCTACAGGGAGACCCTGTCTTAAAAAGAACAAAACAAAAAAATATTATTGTATGTGGTGGAAGTGTGTGCCACAGTACATATGTGCAGATCAGAGGAAAACTTTGTGAAGTTAGTTTTAGTTTTTTCATTCTACCTTTATATATGTTTTTGGGATTGAACTCAGGTTGCCAGGCTTTTCCAGCAAGCACCTTTTTTTTTTTTTGGTCTTTTTGACAGAGGGTCTCCCTGTAGCCCCAGCTGGCCTGAAACTATGTACACCAGGCTGGCCTTGAACTCAGAGATCCACCTGCCTCTGCCTCCCTAGTGCTGTGCCACCATGCCTGGCCTACAGCAAGCACCTTTACTCTGCTGCCTGCTGAGTCATCTTGGTCCAGAAATTCTCTTCTATTTTTTTTTGAGACAAGACAGGGTCTCACCTTGTAGCACTGGCTGGCCTGAAACTAGCTATGTAGTCCAGGATAGCCCTCAAACTCACAGAGATCCACCTACCTCTGTGTCTTGAGTGCTGGGAACAAAGGTACACCTACCCTATTTAAATTTTTAATTTGTGTGTGTGTGTGTGTGTGTGTGTGTGTGTGTGTGTGGTGTGTGTATGTGCATGTGATTGAAGGTGCTCTCAGGAGCCAGAGGTGTCAGATCCCTCTGGTGCTGGAATTACAGGCAGTTGTAAGCCACCTGACATGGGTGCTGGGACCGAACTCAGGATCTCTGCAAGAGCAGTAAATGCTCTTAACCACTGAGCTATCTCTACAGCCCCTCTTCTTAGGAATGACTAATATTCCATTATATGCTCAGAAATACTTTATCAGTTGCTCCATCAAAAGACATTTGGGTACATCTACCACTTAGCTATTTTGACTTTTTTGTGTGCAGTACTGGGGACTGAAGATGGTGCTTTGTACATGCTAAGAGAGTGTTCTACCACTGAGCTACAGTCCTAGCCCATAGTTGTTTGTTGCTGTTGTTTTGTCTTTCTTGGCCTGGAACTCTTTGGACTGGATCTCACAGAGATCCACCTGTCTCTGCCTCCCAAGTGCTGGGATTAAAGGCGTGCACCACCAAGCCCAGGTCTGTTTTTTGTTTTGTTTTGTTTTGTTTTTTGAGGCTGGTCTTGAATTCAATTTGTAGCTGAGGATTACCTTGAACTTCTGATTCTCCTGTCTCTCATGGTGCACCACCATGTTTGGTTTATTTGGTGTTGGAGATGGAACCCAGGGCCTCTTAACTTGGCCATGTAGGGAAGGCTATGCTATGTAACTTTCATAAATTGGCAAGCACTCTACCAAATGAGTCATAGCTCCAGATGAGCCATTTTGAATAATGCTGTTATACAAGCATCTCAGTTTTCTGCTTTTGATGGTTTGGGCTATGTACTCAGAAGCAGACCTTCTGAATTATATAATAGTTCTATAATTTTTTTAAGGAACACCAAACTGTTTTCCATAGCTGTTGTGCCATTTTACACTTCAGCTAACAGTGCACAACAGTTCAACCTCATTCTTTTAAACTGATGCATAACATTTTCCATCTAGACTCTGATTAAGGCAGATGCAGAGAGACCTAGATTCAAGAAGGTCGAGTTTGTCTCCTCCATATTAGCAACTAATGTATGAACCTTTCATGCATCTCTCTTTTTTGTAAATTTTATTTATTATTTTTATATTATGTGTATGAGTGTATTGCCTGCATGTATGTGAGTGCACCCGTGTCATGCAATGCCGCAGAGGTCAGAAGAGGGCTTCGGATTCCCCTGGAACTGGAGTTAAGGTCAGTTCATAGCTGCCATATGGGTACTGGGAATCAAACCTGGGTCCTCTGCAAGAGCAGTCAGTGCTCTTAACCTTTGAGCCATCTCTCCAGCCCCGCATCTCTCTTTTTAATAAAAATTTATTTACTTATTTTTTTGTGTGGTGTGTGTGTGTGTGTGTGTGTGTGTGTGTGTGTGTGTGTATGCCCATGTGGAGGTCAGAGGACCACTTTGGGGAGTATGTTCTTTCTTTCCACCATGTGAGTTCCAGGGATTGAATTTAAACTGACACACTTGACAACAAGTGCCTTTACCGCCGAGCCATTTCACTAGCTCATCTCTCTCTTTCTACTTGTGAATTGTGACATTTATGTACTTTTCTTTTTCTTTCTTTCTTTCTTTTTTTTTTGCAGGGTTTTACTTTGTAACCAAGGCTGGCCAGGAACTCACTATGTAGCCCCAGGTTGGCCTCAACTTTCCCGGATGAACCTGCTTCAGCCTCCTAATGCTGGAATTATATGTGTAAGCCACTATGCCTGACTTCATACATTTTTAAAAAATATTTTATTTATCATTAATTTTTATTTCATGTGTATGAGTGTATTGCCTGCATTCAGGTAGGTGCACCCGTGTCATACAATGCACGAGGAGGTCAGAAAAGGGCGTCAGATCCCCATGGAACCGGAGTCATGGTTGATCATTAGCTGCCATGTGGGTGCTGGGAACCAAACCCGGATCCTCTGCAAGAGCAGCCAGTGCTCCTAACCACTGAGCCATTTTTCCAGCCCCCAAAGAGATTTTAAGTTGAATTGCTTGCTCTTTCTTTTTGTCTTTTTGAAGGAGGGTCTCCCCCTGCAGCCCCAGCTCGCCTGAAATTCACTATTTAGACCAGGCTGCTTGATCTCACAGAGCGCCACCTGCCTCTGCCTCCTTAGTGCTTGGATTAAAGGCATGTACCCCTTGTCTGGCAGGAGACATTTTTTTTTAATATTCTATTTTTTATTTATATTTTATGTGTATATTGCCTGCATGTATGTAGGTGCACCCATGTCCTGCAGTGTCCATGGAGGTCAGAAGAGAGTGTTGGATCCTCTGGAACTGGAGTTACAGACAGTTGTTAGCTGCCATGTGGGTGCTGGGATTCAAATCCAGGTCTTCTGCAAGAACATGCAGTGCTCTTAACCGCTGAGCCAACTCTATAGCCCTGGCAAGAAACATTTTTAAAATAAAGTCCCAGCAGTGAAAATGATCCTAGATATGGCCACATCACTCCGACAGCAGTGTGTATGAGGTCTCTGCCCATGATGTACCTTTGACAATCCTTTTCTTGTATATCTTGTTATGGAGCCCCTCTGTGAACATCTGGCTTGGGTTTATCTGTCTCAGGCTCACCTCTGCCTTGCCCTATCTTTTTGGCTCAGCCCTGTACTGTGCTCTCTGTTCATGTCACATTGTGAGGCGAGGCCCTCTGTTTCCATCTGTATGTTTTTTCTTGGTCACCCTGTCAGTTTCTCCTCTCCTTCTTTCTTTCTTACTCCCTCTTCCTTGTTTCCCCCCTCTGAATGTTTCTGTCACAGGGTCTTCCTCCTAGCCAGCCCTGATACTTGTTTTTCCCAGCCACCTGTTCTGTCACTCATGCTAATTTTGGTCTCCTTGCCCTGGTGCCTATTCTGGGATATATGTGAGCATTTGTCCAGCTCTGGGCTGGCCTGGCCACGTTTGGGGACTGGGACCAGAGCTGCCCCTAAGACTCTGGGTAAGAAGAACCAGAAAGAGCAAGTATTGTGGTCACAGCTCACCGCCCATCCGTTTGCACACCAGTCTTGGTCCTGGCCCTGAAGGTCCTCTTCCCTCTGAACCTCCTTCCCAGGCAGAGAGCAATCTCCCCCTTTTCCCTGCATCCGCAGGATTTTCATACCTGGGTAGACTTGCTTTTCTCCATACCTGCTTCAGCCTTTAACCGATTGGGACACTCCACAGAATCGCAGCGCCGGCTGGGGTAGGGACGGGACCAGGAAAAAGAGGAAGCCCACTTCCAGACCCACCCTCCTGGGGCGGCTAAGTACTCAAACTTCCCGGCCCAGCCCCAGGGCCTGGCTCCACCCTGAAGCCAGGGAGGCGGTGCCGGCCTGGGAACTGGCCACGCACCGCCCACCCCCACCAGGCGCACCCTTCCTGCCTGTGTTGGGCGCTCCTTGGGGGAGTTGGCTGCATCTCTACGGGTGTGGCTGGCCTTGCCCCCAGAGAGCAGCAGCTGTCCCTCAGTGAGCAGTTACCTGGACCTAGGGAGCTTTGCCCGCCAGTTCCCATGTCGTCTGCCCATACCAAGGAACCAGGCAGCGACATTAGGACACCAGGCACTCCTAAGGACAAGAGATCTCTCACCGGGTACCCAGGCTCTGGGCTCCAGTGTGGCTCTGCACTCCTAAATTGGGTATGCGGATGTGAGTGCTCGGGAAGCCCAAAGCAAATGTAAGTCTGGGTCCTCGACCAGATCCTCTCAGGTCCCTACTGGATTCTGCTGTAGAGTGGCAGCCCAGAAATTGAAGTTGTTATTTTTGGTGCCATACGACTACTTGGCAAGAACTCTATGATAGAGATACACCCTTCTTCCTCAGCTCAATGGAAAAAAATACCACAATCAATAAAATTATGATTAAAACATTTTTTTTTGTCTTTTTTTTGGCTCCCTGTAGCCCTAGCTGGCTGGCCTGGATTCGCTATGGAGACCAGACTGGCCTCGGACTCACAGAGATCTGCCTGCCTCTGCCTCCCGAGTGCTGGGCCCACAGGCATGCACCACCATGCCCGGCTCATGCTGGGCGTAGTGGCACATGCCTTTGGGCCCAGCACTCGGGAGGCACAGTCAGGCGGATCTCTGTGAGTCCGAGGCCAGCCTGGTCCTACATAGCGAGTTCCAGGCCAGCTGGGGTTACAGGGAGACCCTGTCTCAA